TGATCCAAAGGGCCGTTTGGGCTTGATCTTGGAAGAACGATGAACGAAGAACGAAGAACACTTTCTTCAAGGGCCGTCGGGGCTTGATCTTGAATTGGTGGATGATTGTTGATCCAAAGGGCCGTTTGGGCTTGATCTTGGAAGAACGATGAACGAAGAACGAAGAGAGCTTTCTTGATTCTTCGGGAACCTGGATGCTTGAGAGCTTCGGAGTTTCAGAGCTTCAGAGCTTCAAGGTGTAATATGAAATTCCCCTTAAATGAATGAAATGGGCTTATATTTATAGAATTTTCCAAGGCCTAATTTTGAATATAATATCCCGGATGAAATAAGTCGTTTCTGCCAGATGTTGACACGTGTCCTATTTGATGACTTTTCCAACTCATTTCAATTTTCGTTGAGTCACACGCTACGTGTAAAATTTATGTAATACATGAGCGTTGAAACTTTGATTTATCGGTCAACATTTATTTACCGAAATTTCGATGTCTACAATGGTGAAGAAAGATTTCCAACCACAATCTCTTGAAATAATATTCCCTACTCTAAGATGGGCGAGGGATGGGGATTTGGGTGAAGATGCATAATTGATAATCCATAACAACTGATTTCAAACTCGTCACTTATGCGTGTCGAACTTGATGCTTTCACTTACAGGAGGTGAGGATATGAGTACAGTTATAACTTATTGCTAGTGGTAGCTAAAAGTTAAATATAGAAAACCACTAAATATCTAGTGGAACTAGGTACAAACTTATAAAAAATGGATTAAGAGACACTTATTATTTTTTTTTTTAAATTTTTTTTTTTTACAAACGATATTATCTATACTCAAGGATTGGAGGAGTTGGCTAAACCTCACAATAGGCTTGTAATAATGTAGTTCTAGTTCGCACCAGTGTATACACTTTATTGTCGGTTTAGTGTATTTATATTTTTATTTTGTTTATTAAAGGTTTATAATTGGTTTTATTTGGGTGTCTTTCGTGAAACAGTTAAACATGTTGGGAAATGACAAATAATGCGGTCAGCAGGCAAACGAAAACGAAAGAAGTTTTACATACTAGTTTTTGTTGAACGTTAAAGTGCTAGCTAATCTAACAAACAAAAGTAAAAGTAAACAAAGATGGGTTGTCATTCGTCAATCATAATCTGCAGGGTTAAAGTGCTAATTATTCCTGGCTCTGCGTCCATACTTCTCTGAATCTCTGCAGGCTAGGCTGTTAGTTTCCTTTTAGTCTTGTAGGCTTATTGCTTTGTTGCCTCTGTTGTCAAGCTTGTTTCCTTGCAATTTCTCAGTAATTGGGGGCTCTGCTCTTGTTGTCTTTAGGTTTGGCACATTGATTTATTTACAAGAAACGAGAGAGAGGTCATTTCTTGCTAGCTTTTTGTTTTGAGTAAATTGTAGCAATGGTCCCTCAATTTTAATCAAATTGGAGCAATGGTCCCTCAACTAAAAATCTATTACCATTGGTCCCTCAACTTATCAATATGTGTAGCTATAGTCATTTTCATCAATTTCGTCAAAATTTCGTCAAAATAAGTTATGTTAGAATGACCAATTATACAATTAGGGTCCCTCAACTCATCAAAGTGTGTAATTATGGTCATTTTCGTCAACTACGTCAAATTTTTTGTCAAAACGAGTTATGTTGGAAGGACCATTGCTACAATTGGTTTAAAGTTAAGAGACCATTTCTCCAGTTGAATTAAAGTTGAGGGACCAATGGTAATGGATTTTTAGTTGAGAGACTATAGCTGCATGTTTTGATGAGTTGAGGGACCAATGGTAATGAATTTTTAGTTGAGAGACCATTGCTCCAATTGAGTTGAAGTTAAGGGATCATAGCTACAATTTACTCTTTTTTTTATCATCGAAAAATTTAAAATCGGCTTGTATGAACTTCCGCTCTGGTTTACAATCGTTAGCTAAAGTCTCTGAATTTAATGAAACGCGCACCATTTGGTCTCACATGTCCAATCCTGAATAGTGAAAGTTAAGAGATCAAATCCAAGCAATGGTTAGAATTCAAGAATCAATTGTTGGTTTTATGTCTTACCATGTAATCAAATTGATGAATTTTTTTACTGAAGAACTAAAGGTGTATGTTTTGCTAAATACAAGGACATCAATTTACGAACTTTTAGTTTTAGAACCAATTGTAAAACTACGATTTGTTTAAGAACCAAGATGACAATATCTCAAGTTTATCATGTTCTCTTCCTAAAAGCTCTCCTCTCTCTCTCTACCAACACTAAAAACACTTCTTTTCAGCCGCCGACCCCTCTTTGGCTAGGGTCGGTGGCAGCCAAATCCTTTCAATTCTCAATCCTCTTCTCTCTTTCCCCAACCTTTTCCTCCTTTTTCTTTAACTTGCTTTGTCTATTTTTCTCGGTTGTATTTGGTTTGAGCTTCTGTCTCAGTGTTACCTGGGCTTTGTTTCAGTCTACCCTGAGTTTGTCTGAGATTTGCCATTTTCCTCTCCAAATATCGTTCCTCACCACATATCCCATACCATCTACCTCAGCTATTAAACTCTTTGGATGTTTCCTTCATGGATCATCTCTAGTAGCACTCCTCGGTGGTTAGTAGCTTTAAAGTGCTTTTTGCACTAGTCTACCCCATTTTTCGTTGATCCATTTGGTTCATTGGTTCGTCTTCTAGGTGGTGGTGCGGTTGTTTGCTATTTTTAGTGCTATGGTTTTTTTGCTTTTGTGTTAATATGGGTTGCCTCTTTTGAGCCTATTTCGTTGTAATTTATTTGTGTGAAGTCGGATTTTGCTTGACTGTTTTAAACTCTTTTTTGGATGGTCCTTATCTTTGTATTAACTTTCTATTTTAATGAATTTTACTTTGATTGAGAAAAAAATAATCTGGGGGACACAAACTTTAAATTATAGGATTTTGCTCCCAATCTATCGCTATTACTCCATAATGTTATAACGATGTTGAGATAAAGAAGGAGCCAAAGCATCTTCAGGCCTATGGATAGCTCCACCCGTCTATCACACACCTGTTTGTGTTTTAACACGTTACGGCATGATTCATTTGTGATACTGATACATTGTCATCTTAATTAATTGCATATGGAATATCTGATAGGATTTTTATCACCTATAAAAATAGGGATAAAACATTTTAAAATACTTGTAAGAATACAAGGTAATCGTAGTATAGATGACTCTAGCAAAGTCGTTCTTCACATGGATTGAATAAATAATTTATGTTAAACTCAATCTTAATTAATTATTTAAAGCGAAGTTTGAAAAAAAAAGATTTTATGACTTAAAATATTAAAAACGAATTTAATTAAAAACAATTAAATAAATTGGCGAGTAAATAAAACAAAAGAAAATAGTTTGAAAATTTATTTGAGCAATAGGGTTCTGCCGTCACCTTAACAATCATACGTAGTTCTTCCAATTACTTATGACTTACACATGCATATTTGAATGTTAGGTTTTCCTAATATATATCTTACTTGGAACTTCCAACATAGAACGTATATCTAACATGCAACCCGTCTGTGGTGTCTAGATCGAATGTGAACATGCAAGACTCATTAAGTTTTGTGAAAATCTTTTGAAAAACCATATAACCCTTAAGACGTATCGTCAATCCTAAGAAGTTACACATATTAACCACAAGAAGCCTTAGTCAATTCCAGGACAGTCCTCCGCCAAAATTGCATCAAATTACTTTTCTAAATATCCTAATGGTGGCCAACATCAAGACAATTAGATAGTTTTAACCGGTGATTAACAATTCAAAACTTGCATGCATAATATCATAAGCAAATTGAAAAGAAACTACGTATTCTTGCTAAGGCTCGTGGCCTCACCCTAGCAAACGAAATTAGTTACGAACAATCATAAAATAAAATATTATTAAAAACATGGATAGAAAACACCTTGTAAGTAAAAAGTCTGAAATTCTCCAAAATAGTGCTTGTGTTCTCCTCTTCTTCTCCCTAATGGCTAAATAGCCTTATTTATACTACTACAAAATAAAACCCTACCTAGAAAAGGTCTTCTAAAAACTAGGATACATAATAATTAACTTAAAAGAAATTAGAAAACATAATCCTATCAAATATGGAAAATCTGCCCAGCCACAAATCAGCCACGTTTTTTGAACTTTCAGGTCTCCAAAACAGGCCCAAAATGACTAGAATTAAAGCTTGAGATGTCGTGAACATAATTACACAAGGCCTCGAACCCAAAAGACACAATCTTGGATGTCAAAAAGCCCAAAGAAGCCCAAAACGTCACTTTGACAGCACCGCGCGCTGCTTTTTTATTTTATTACCATAAATAAACCGTTTGGTATAAAATTCTGAAACTTTGATATGAACAAGTTGAGAGACACACGAACATCATCGATATCATTTTGAGTTGCCACCCTAGCATTCACTATCTTATGCTGATAATTTTAATTTGATTTCAAGTTGGAAGTAAATTTTATATACATGTGAAAGGATGGATCGGGGATGTAACTTGGTTTCTAATATTGGCAAATATGATTCACATTTTCAAGTTAATATTTTTTGTTGTAAACTTAGCTTGCATTATTCATATCGTGTCAGGTATATCAGTAGTAGTTTTGTACATTCAGTCATCATTTTTGTCTTTTTTATTATACGAGAAGATTCATCCAACCACTACTGTAGATATTTTGGTGTCCTCTGTACACTTATAAGTTATAACCCTAGGTATGATGCTTCCATCTTTTTCCCAGTTCCAGATTCGACTTCTTATTCTGGCAATTAAGCTCTTTGGCTTCTTTCTTCCCTGGTTAATTAAAGTTATAAGGTATTAATCTTCTCACGGGTAGAGATTAATCAGTGTAATATTTATTTTACTGCATGCCCATCTGAACTCTGAAGCAAGCTGTGCTGAGCATATTTATTAGCCATTGTCATCATCCATCATATATACATGACCTCATATTTAAATAATGTCCTTCTCATGAACGGTAATTGACAGATGAGAAGTGTAGAAAGAGTTGGGAGAATCAAACAAGTGACGTTTTAGATTATTTGGTTCTCCAGGGAAATCTGAAAACTCCCATGGAATCTTTTCCATTTATACATTCTACCAAAAGAGAAGGCCCAAAGTTCAACGACCAACATGCAGAGAAACTCTTAAGAGAGAGAGAGAGAGAGAGAGAGAGAGAGAGAGAGAGAGAGAGAGAGGCTCATTACATTATTCACATGGGCTCACAGTAGAGAAATTACATCATCACTGCTATCCCGTTGCACATTTAGGAAATTACAGCCAATTTAACAGGTTATCTACTGAGAAGTAAAATTTGTCAGAACTAATCTTTGTGTCTAGTTTGCATTGTGATGAAGTGATTAAAATATATGATACTTATTTTCATTCTGAATCCTAAAGGTGGAGAGCAAATTACATAGCACAGATACATTGCCATTGTGATGTCAACGTCGTGCCAATAATACAACGTCATGTAAAGAGAAATTTACATGTCGTTGTACTATTGACACTGTACGGTAGTGTATCAGTGTCATGTAAGTGCTCCTAAGGTGGTATTCATGCATGCCATATGTGGCTGCATATGCCATTTCTCAATTTGAGAAGATGAGCACTAAAATGACTGCAGCCTGTACTCCAGTTTTGGCTGCAATATAGCCAGCATATATACAAACAACTTTGTCTCATCAGACATCCCCGAAGGGCCACTGTAATCACATCCCCAATTTTCCTCTCCTTTCTTTTCATCTACATTAGATTAATTTGGAGGAAGTAAGCTAACCTTGAAACAATAACAGAAATGTACAGCAAGAAAGTATAACCAAGAAACTATGCTCAAAAGGATGATTTATCCAACCACTGAAACAAGACCAACAAGTAGCTTAACAAAGAAACTTCTTTTTTTTCTTTTGTGTTCAATTAAAATATTCTGAAAATTGGTGAAATTCACCACTCCTGTTTTTGATTGAAGTGATATCAGTGTTTCCTATATCTCAAGCAGTTTCATCACGTTTTGTTTAATTTCCAGTGAATTTCATAAGAACTATAAATTGTTCTGGGAGATGTGTATGTAATTGGACCCAGTCGCAGTTGAAATATATACATATCTGACCATCATACATTCATAAGCTCAGACCAACTATATACAAAAGCCCTCAAGAAATAGTTAGACCTGCAACATTAACTATGTAAGAACCAAGCTAACCATTCACTATGCATCATCTCTCTCTCTCTCTAGAAAACTAACCATTAACTATGTAAGAACCAAGCTAAGGCTTGATTCCGAATCAACAAACACAGAACAATTATAGGAACCTCCAATTGAAAATTATAATCCAGACAAAAGGTTCAGATAATCAGATGACCAAATTTCACCCCATATAGTATTTAATTGAAACCCTTCACTGAATTAATCATGATGAGATAATGAACACATATACGAATAAATGAAATCTTAAGATATTGGCAGATTTGAGTACGGCCGGCCGTATAACTACTATTTATCTAAAAGACTACGGCTAGGTATTGGCTCGATCACCAAAGTGTCTGTTGAGGAGCAAGAAATCATCGTACTGTGTTGTGTCATTAAAAAACCCTAAAACCCCCAAATATCTGACATTTCCGTGCAAGTTTTGCACACAAAAAAATAGAAGAATAGATAAATTATGAAAACAATTTATCGATACACCAGCTAAATCACTGCAACAAAACCCGAAACACATATATACTAATGAATTAGATATTGACAAGCTGAATTAATTGAGGTCATGAAACAATACCTTTTTATTTCCAATAGCTAGGGATTATAAGTTGTTATGTGGGAATTAGGGTTTTGATGATCTCATGCTACCAGTAACAGGTGAAACTGCCAGATGATCTGATCTTCCCTAAACGAAGTTGGGAGTTATAAGATCATGCTGGCAGCTTCAACCGCTACCAGTGCATGATAAGAACATATGCATGCACGCTGCAAACTCCTTTCATCGGGGAGGGGGAGAGAGAGAGAGAGAGAGAGAGAGAGGGAGAGAGAGCTAGTGAGCTAGGGTTTGGTGGAAAAGAAAGAGGATGGGAGGAGGGTATTAATAGAGCCAGAAGGTGGAATTATCATTTCACTTAGATTTAGATGTAATATTAGAGGGACTGCAAAGCTAAAAAAGTTAATAATAAAAACAAAATCAAAAGATGTAAGAAAGAGATGAGGGTGGTCCCGATGTTTGCACATTGAATATTATCGTGCGGAGATGGCGTTTTACCAGCAATCATGCCTATGCAAGTTGGCACGAACTCGATTTCTATAAATCCCCATCCCCTAACAACTAACTATTAAACCACTAATTTTATTGTTTGTTAAAAAAAAAAAAAATCACTCCAATACTAAACCGCATGCAGTTTGCAGACAGAGGGGACCCTAAATTCACATCTCTCTCTCGCACTCTGCAACTGCAACAAGGCAAAAGTATCAATTGAACCATGACCATGAGAGAGCCAGAGGAAAAGGAGAGGTGACTAGTGTGTTTAAATTTTGGGACCATTTTGCATGGTTACAATTGCCTAAATATAGGTATTGCATAATGCATAATGTTTCACACATAAAGGTCAAAGAAGAAAGCATCTCAATTATCATCCCAAGAAAATGATCTCTCTCTCTCTCTCTCTCTTCTCTAATTAATTTCAAATATATTTGTTTATTGCATTAAATCCATTCCATTTAAGTATTTTTCTCATTTTATTGATAATTGCCTTTTTCTTTGTAAAATTGCCATTTGTTGAATATTTGGCACTTCTGCATCTGATTGATGCCAGCTGCCAAAATACTAGTTATTGGAAACATTTGATACCCTTCAAATTACAGAAGGAAAAAAAAATATCATCAAGAAAATAGAAATCTGATACAGACATTTTGGAAAATGACTACTGTTAAGAAAAAGCTCTGGTTGTTTAAAAAAGTGTTGTTTCTTTTCTTTTATAGACACTAGGTGTGATGATGAGACCAATGTATGCGACCACCCTTTGGATTAAAAATATGAATAGCAGAAACTAGCTAGATGTTAATTGGTCTAAGATCGCTGAATAAATATGCCTAACTTTTTCAAGATTTTTGCCCACGATCATTTGATCGAATGATATTTTGTTGGTAGAAATTTAGAATTTCATTTCCAAAATACTTTTTTGAGATTTTTTTTCTTCAAAAAACTTCATTTTAATCCTTAAAAAAGATGAGTTTTAGACTATAATCTTGTGTAAGATTAGAATCTAATTTTAGTCCCTGAGATATTTATTCATCTCATTTGTTAATTATATTTTGATGTTTTATTTCTTGCTTTTTTCCCCTATTTTTAATGTATTAATACATTTAATTTTTATTTTCATTTCATTCATCATAATATATTTTGATGTCTACATTTAGGTAAACTAATTTTTTTTTATATAATATATTCCTATACAATTTGTGTAACATCCTATATCGACCAACAGAAAGGGGGTGATGTGCCTTATATGTACATGCTCCCCTCCAATAGCATGGGGCATTTTGGGAACTAACTGGCTTCGGGTTCCATTGGAACTCCGAAGTTAAGCGAGTTCGGGCGAGAGCAATCCTAGGATGGGTGACCTCCCTAGGAAGTTCTTGTGTGAGTTACCAGAAACAAAACCGTGAGGGTGTGGTCGGGGCCCAAAACGGACAATATCTTGCAAGGACTAATGTTGAAAACCCCCTTTTTAATAAAATTACACTTTAAGGGATTAAATTGAATATGTAATCTAGCACCAGATTTTTTTTGAAATTCTAATCTTTTGCTAGGACTAATGTTGAAAACCCCCTTTTTTATGTATATTCCGTAAAAAAAATTAAATCAACAAAATATTACAATACTAACAATACATTAAACAATATTTATGCTAATTATAAGAGTCAATTACAAATCAAAATAGAAATTGCATTGCTGTTTCTAAATCCATAGGAAAACAAAACCGCAAAATAGAACTTGAATTGCAGTCTCTGAATATCCCAAAGCATCATTTGGTGACTTGTATTTAATTGAATTGAATAGTATACTTTTTCTTTTTTGAACAAACAATATTACCTACACTAAGGGGAAATAGATGAGATTAGCCTCACAATAGGTTAACAATAATGTGGTTCAAACTTGCCTTTGACGAGAATTGAACCTAAGACCTCTCACTTACAATTGAATAGTATACTTTACCACTATATGTTGGTTGTTTAAAAAAAAAAAAAAAACCACTATATGTTGAAGCAAAGAATAGATGCCAACTTACAAAACAAAGCATTCATTACTTGCATCAATATACAGTAAATCGTCCAATTTAATTCAATACAAGAAAAATTGAAAGCGTTTATTTATTCAAAAGATTTTGTTCTAAGTGAGGTCTTGCTATCACATAGAACAAGAGCTCTTGATAAAAAAAATTATAAAAAAAATAAAAATTGAATAACTTGTAATCAAATAACCACTCAAAGTTGATTAACATCAAGTTCATTCCTTGATTTGACATTCACTGCCATGCATACATTGCACAACAATCCACTCGATAGCGGATAGTTACCATATGCGATGTTAAAACTTACTGCCATTTCATTCCATCATGTTGTGGAATGTTTTAACTTTCTAGGGTGATGATGTTTGCAAGATTAGCATCATGCACCTACCCTAATTTGTACATGACTGACATACCAATTACCAAGCAAGATCCCGGACTAGGAAATATTATTAAAGTGTGCATAGTGAAATTTACTTAACATTAATATATGAATGTTTATATATTGCTAGTGTAAAATTCACATGTGACTCAAGGCCTGTTTGACTTTTTCGGTTTTTATCTTTTTGTGATTGAGAGTTTGAGAAAATATATATGACGAAAATGAGTTATGAAGAAGGATGTTGCGATAATAGGAAGAAATAAAGAAGAATTAATGAAAACAAAATCTTAAAAGTGGAAAACAACTTAAAATTATTTTAGCTTCTGTGTCCTAGTTTTTGTTGTCATATTTACTTGCACATTTTTTTTTTACATCTCTTCCACCATCTTTCTCCACTCTTTCTATTTTCTCATTTCTTTCATATACTTTCTCTAAATATAACTTAAGCAGAAAACATCAATAGATGACCCCTTTAGTGACATGATAAATGGGTCTATTGGTCAATGAAGACTGTGTCATACGTGCCAACTATTTCAAATAGGGGACTGGTATTTGAGATATAGGAACTGATATATATGGATCAGTGTCTTTCAAGCCACATTTTAGTAGTTAAAGTAAAAACTAAAAAAATTAAAAACAAAATGGTTAAATGATTTATCAAAGTGTGATCTCATTTATAAATATCTGAATTCTACTACTAATGGGACACTTATGCAGCTGTGCTTTGAGCAATATCTGCCAATCTGAGCGACCAAAGGTGGTCTAGTATCACTCCCAATTTTGCCCAGAAAGTGACCTAATTTCGTCACTTTCACTAGTTTGTAAACCACTGGTGCTGTAGTTACCCTGCCCCCAAAGAAGAAAAGGAGTAAAAGAAAACAATTGCAGTAAGATAATACGTACAAAAACCACCTCTTACACATACTCTTATGTATGAATGGAAAAGGCAGACCTTTCACTATTTGTTACGACCTTAAAAATGCATGCAATGTGGGTGGCACTGGTTTCTGTACAATTGGCATATTATATGGTGTTCCTCAAAACTGGTACTTTTTTATTTAAATCTTGGACTGAAATAATTTTCCAATCACAAGCACAGAGAGATCCTTCCAAACATTAGGACACAACGAACAAGTCAAAATTAGAAGATGGATGATCAAGCTTTTGGGTTCTTACAAGTCACATGCACTCCTATATACGAAGTAGACGTGGGTTCGTATCCATTGAAACTCATTGAAACCAAACCCACCCTTACTACGAAGAGTTATCTGACAAGAACGAGTCTTCTACTGAGTGGGAAAGTAAGGTTGGAATCAAAATAGGAGGCCTTGTATTTTTTTAATAAAGTGTTCTCTAAAAAATATGATCTAAACACTCCTGTACAAGGCTTTTTTTCTTCCCTACAACTACCCAACTAGATAGGGGTGGGTTCAAAAAACCGAAAACCGAAAACAGAAAAAAACCGGACCGAAAACCGGACCGAGGCAGAAAAAAACCGAACCGAAATTGTCAAACCGAACCGAACCGAATTTGGTTGGTTCGATTTCGGTTTTTAAGGTTCGAAAACCGAACCGAACCGAAATAGATTTTAATTATTAAAAAAAAAAAAAAAAAAAAAAAACCCATGGGGGTTCGAACCCATTCCCACTTGGCTGAGTATCTTTCCCTTAAACCATTTTGATAGCAAGTTTTTTCCTGTTAATACCTTATGAGTAGCATATTTATAAAAAAGTAGATCATAATAAGTTATCAATTCTCATCTTTCATCCAATCCCAACTTTTATTTGACCTAGCCGAAAAACCCATCTTTCCCAATTCCTCTCTCTCTCTCTCTCTCCCTCCCTCCCAAAATTATACCCAGAAATCCCAATTTCTTTAACCTAGCCGAAAAAAACCATATCTCCCTCTCTCTCTCCCTCCCTCCCTCCAACCAAACACAACAAAAACCAAGAAATCCCACCTCATAAATCAAGCTCACCTATTTCCCCAACCTCCAATTCCCACCTCCCCTCAATTTTCGAGTCAAATCGGCGGAACTCACTGTCCAATTTCATTGGATTTGACGAAAAATTAACCATGGTGGAGACTTTGCAGCTAGAACGGTTCCACTCGCCGAGGTAAGTGCTCCGGTTATCCTTCAACAGTTCAACATTTTGTTTTGTTCTCCTTTGCAAGTTCATTGGATTTGACGAAACGAGTTTTGTTTGATCTGCAAGATGGAGGTAAAGGTTTAATTCTTGGTTTTCTAGGTGAACTGGAAAAAAGAATAAACTGTGCTGTAGTACTCATTGTAAACTTGCAGTAATGTGTTTCTCCCAGTGCAAATAATTCAATAACACAAACCATCGCTTCAATTGTTTAAGTATGATGCCT